TCGTCGCCGGAGCTTCAGAGGTCTACTCTGTGCGACACTCTCGGCAGGTAGCCAGCTGTTCACCTTCACCGTATGATTTGCGGTCGACCAGCTTTACAAAAATTGACATCGGGTATTTTTGCAGGGTGTAGAGTACTAACTTAGTCGGCTCTGTGGCTAAGTCGATGAGAACGCTTCGTAATGCCGGGATGCCGGGCTCGATCCCAGCTGCGGGCCATGTGCCTTGCGTTGGTTTCGACAGTGGTATCAAGAAAGCCGACCGTCCAGAAGCAATGGCAAACTACAGGACGTAAATTTGCCTTGAAAAACCACAACGTCCTGTAAAGGATACGCAACTAACCAGAGTACTAACTTAGCCCCTTGATCATATTTACACGTAGTCATGACTGGCAGTTCATGTATTAAAGTGGTGAACGGCTGACCAGTTTTCTGCAAGATCAGCGACCGGGTTGTAATTTGGCCGGCCGGTAGACAACTTCGTCACCGGTCAGGATAGTGTTTGGGTGTGTCTCTAGAGATCGTATCAACACTGCAGGGGTAGTTTTCAGGGCTACTTGGTGGCGAGGAATGCTAAGCCATTTTATATGGCGCACATAAACTTAGTCACAATTATAATCTAAAGCTCCCTCTTTGGGAATGCTGGTTTAGCGTGACAATTTTTTTTCGCAAGTAAAGTCAAGAAAAGTTTTCAGCCCTCCTAAATAAATTATAGTACGATAAGCGTTTGTCATGTTTCCCTTTTTTGTGTTGATTGTTTCACTAAGAATTATTATTGCCAAAAAAATGTAGGTGCATATTTCAGCGTTTGCAGTTGACACTTAAATGTAGTTGAAAGTATTTTATTACCTATGAAACGAGGTATGCATGAGTAACTGTGTGCAAGGAGTCAGACTAGAAAGGCAGCAATGAGATGGGCCTGGGTACCCAATTCTTAATTCTGTTAAAATATAGTGTGTTCGTTCGTTCGGTGCTGGTAACCATTTTAACTATGCAAGGCAGAGGATATCTCTATAGACGCAATGGCTAGGACAACCGGCTCAATACCTGTACTGCTCTCATAGAAAGAAATTGTATTCTGCTGGGAGTATTTTGCAAGGAAAGTTCATTTCTGCACACCAACTGTTCAACCTAAACGTCGTTAAGGGGAGTCCAAGAACTTTCTCGTCCGGTAGAGGGACTGCACGTGCTACAGGTGCAACCAGACCGTCATTTGGCTACTCTACGCAAATCAAGGAATTTTCATGCACATAAAGACATATCGACAGGCATACATACAGACAGACATGCATGCAATCAGACAGACATTCGATTAAGTATAGGGACAAACACACACAGAGACAGACAAATAATCTGTTTCTAATTTTGTTTTCAGAACTAAATCGACTGCTGCCAACAAATTCCTATTTTCCAAATCGTCCTCATTCACCTAGCACTGTTAACAAAAACAGATAATATGTTGCCAAATTGGACACTATGTGTTTTGATATTCTCCACGATCTGGAGGCTGCATGACTGCATCCCATCTCGAGGGAAACGAACAGCGGACCTTATGTACAGTCACTATGGACCAGGTAAGCTAGTATACAATTGTCCTTCTAGTTAGTTAGTTAGTTAGTTAGTTAGTTAGTTAGTTAGTCGACAGATTAGTCTGTTTAGTCCATAAGGGCTCCGACACCTCTTTGGTAGATCCCGCAGCGTATAGCAGCTCACGACACTGGTTCTGTTTTCTCATTTGGCTTCCTGCATAGTGCTCTTGTCTGGCCACACCCGTTTTAACTTGCTGTTTCTGATGTCTGGTCTTTGTTGCAGATTTACAGTCATCACTTGGTTCTCGCAAACGTCTTACTTCTCGTAGAATGTGTGTGTGTTGTCCATCAAGATGATGATGACAGCTCTTTTTTTTTTTTAATCAAGTATGAGTACAAAGATGACTGATGAGGCCGATGCGGGCCCGAAAAGTTCTTGGACAGTGAGGACAGAAAATGAGTTGTGCCAGGGAGGGGATCAGTCGCCTTTCTGTCCATCCTTTTCCTAACCAGTCTTGCTGTCCTGTTTGCTTCACATGTAGCCGCGCTCTTTTGTAGAGTTACACGCCATGCAATTTCGGTCTTGAGAGGCAGCTCCCGAATTGGTGTCATTCATAACAAATGCTTTGAGTGAAGTGAAGACTTGAAGGTGTCCTTAAAGCGTTTCTTTTGCCCGCCCTGGGAAGGTTTCTCATTCTGCAGCTCACCATATTAAGTATATGAGCCTGGTCCATGGCTCGTCCGTTCTTTCTAGTAGCTATACCTGCAAGTCTATCAGTTTGCTCATTTCTCTGCACGCCTGCGCACCCTTGCACGAAAATTAAATTAATCTTTGTCAACGCCGACCACCTCAGACACGCCAACCACTGTCTTCAGCTTGGTATTATGGAAATCGCAACCTTTCGGCATTGATTCCATTGTAAATACCGTAAATCTGGGAGAAATGTGGCTTTTCTGCCTACCCCCGGAATTGAACACGGACCACAAGGAGTTCGTCACCCGGTCTCCGCCCAATCCGGTTTAGCCAACTACGCTAAAGAGCCGGGCGATGACAAAGAGGTAACAAACTGTATATACAAGGGAGATAAATTGTCGTAGACCACAAGGCAGACCAAGAGGACAATGGATAGATAATATCCAGACAGACCTGCGCACACTTGGTGAAAGAAAAGGCCAATTGGGGTGATAAATGGAGGTGGCAATAAAGCAATGAACCTTAGGGCTCGTAATGCTACTAAAGAAGAATGCCAACGAGAGAGATGAATGGAGGCAGGTGATATCTGTAGCAATGAACCTCAAGGGCTCGGACTGCTGAAAAAGAAGAAGAAGAAGTGGAAAAAGAACACATCCGATTCTTACAGCTCTCAACTCCCGGTAAGGTGACGGCGTTTTTCTGTCGGGAGCGAACACAAACATCCTAACCTACACAGTCCGTAGCTACTGCACTGGCTATGCGACCCTAAATAATTGGGTTCAAAGCTCCTTTTTATGACCAAATGGTTTGGTCATCTGGTCAGAATAGAACAAAATCATCCAGCAGCTAGAGCGTACCACATGACAACATCAGGCTCCAAGTCAAGAGGCCGAACAAGAAAAACATGGGTGGAGGGAGTAAAAGAGACACTACAGACACATAATCTGACATTAACACAAGCTATGCAGCCAGTAAAAGACAAGAAACACCTAACTTTTTCCTGCGACACTTTACCGCATAATTTGTTCACCGTTGAAAAACAAATCAACAATTTAATGTCTTTGTTACGTCCCCACTCTCTGTTTAACGTTCATCATTTTGAACCAAAAAAATACAGGAGAATCTGTCAACTCGTGTCTGACCTGTTTTGGAGAGGTCATAAGCTGCAGGACAAAAGAAGAAGAAAATAATAAGAATGAAGGTGCAGACATGTGTGAGTGACTTTCAACCTCACTAGGACCGCACGACGATCGATTAACACCCGATGACACAAAGTGTAAATATACGTATGAGAAACCCTGTTCAACCGTTAAGTTATATTAAGGCCCCCGAAAACAGCGTGGGTGGACTTTTAAAATGACCACACACAAAAATGCGCTCGTTCCCCTGCTTTTTCTGCGAAAAAAAATTGTTACGTTTAACCAGCATCCCCGAAAGGGAGCTTTAGGTTATAAATGTGACTAGGTTATGTGCGTCACATAAAATGGCTTCCAACTGCACGCCATTAAGAGTCCTTAAAAAGACCCCTGCAATGTTAATGCGATCAAAGAAGACAGACCCAAACACTCTCCCGACCGGTGACGTAGTCATCTACTGGCGAGCCAATGAGTGAGTGAGTAACTCTCTACCCCACTAGGACATCACACAAGCGATAAACACCCGATGACACAAAGTGCCACCATGCGGATGAGGATCACCATGGAGAGGTCCCAGAAACCGCGTTCAGACATTTGGCCATTTTTATGGCCTGCCTATATTGCGGCCCCTGGCAAAAGCCAGAGTGGGGCTTCAAATAACAAAAAATTACGCCCTGAAAAGGACGTAAGGATTTTATTACAAACGGACCAACTAGTAAGATATTTAAAAAAAAAAAGCGTCCCATAATGGGGCTGATTTATATTATTCTATAATGAGGCTAATAAAGACATATAATCAGAGACTGAAAATTGGGACCTATCGCACTGAACGTGGTTACAAGATTAAGTTATACGTGTCTCTGTTATTTATTTGTTTGCCCTGACTGATGTTAAACATTGTTATTTAAAAATGAACGATAGCGACGGTAAATCGACCAGTTACCACTCTCAGACAGTTAAGATTACACATGTCTGGCATTAAAAACATAACCATGCTAATTTTTACTCTTTACCTACTTGTGATTCCCCATTTCAAATTACTTTTGCTGTATTGATTTCCAAGGTCTGTCATATTTAGTCAACATTTCGTTGCCATTTGCTTTTCTCCTTCTCATCCACATCCTGTTTATAATTCTACCTGATTGCTGAAACATTGTTATGTTAGACTGTCAGCTTAATCGTATCCCAAAATGGTTTCATCTGATCCCTTCGTTCTGCCTGTTTCCGATTGCGACAGATGGGTATGTGTAGACGTCGGCTTTATTGTCTAGTCTGTGATGTCACCTTTTCATATTTCTGACAGGGTTATTACTTTTTTGGTTCATTCAAAGCATTTCTGGTAAGATTGACTCTTTGTCTGTCTTGAAAACCTTTCCAAAGACACACACAAAAAAGGGAGATAATCACTTATTTGAAATTTATAGTTGTGAGCAAAAAAAGTAAATTGTAAGGGAGACAACCCATTGAAAATAAAAGTCCGTTTGATAATTGGAATTGATTTTCTGCCCACAAAGAGTTTTTCTAAGGAGGATATTATTAGTTGTTTCCTGTGTTGTGCCGATCTGGAAGCACAATTTTGTTTATGTATAATTACTTGCTTTCAGTGGTTCAGAATTAAGCACAATCCTTTGATCTTAGATATAGCATATTCGCGATAGATAGCAATGAACACAGTTTTGTTTTAAGAAATAATATCCCCTAAACCTTCCTTAGGACGTAATTTTTTGTTATTTGAAGCCCCACTCTGGCTTTTGCCAGGGGCCGCAATATAGGCAGGCCATCAATATGGCCAATTGTCTGAACGCGGTTTCTGGGACCTCTCCACGGTGATCCTCACCCGCATGGTGGCACTTTGTGTCATCGGGTGTTTATCGCTTGTGTGATGTCCTAGTGGGGTAGAAAGTCAGTCAGTCAGTCATATCTTGCATATATGTATTAATATCCTTTTCGTCCTTATTAGGACGAAATTTTTCGTTATTCGAAGCCCTACCCTGGCGTTTGCCAGGGGCCGCAATTTAGGCAGGCCATACATATGGCCTATTGTCTGAACGCGGTTTCTGGGACCTCTCCAAGGTGATCCTCACCCACATGGTGGCACATTGTGTCATCGGGTGTTTATCGCTTGTGTGATGTCCTGGTCGGGTAGAAAGTCAGTCAGTTAGTCGTATCTTGTTTGATTGATTACTTTCCCTCCTTTTCAGGATGAAATTGTTTGTTATTTGCAGCCCTACTCTGGCTCTTGCCAGGGGCAGCAATATAGCCAGGCCATAAATGTGGCCTAATGGCTGAACGCGGTTTCTGGGACCTCTCCACGGTGATCCTCATCCACATGGTGGCACTCCATGTCATCAGGTGTTTATCGCTTGTGTGATGTCATGTTTAAGTAAAAGAAGATAGAAAGATAAGATTTATCTTGGCTTCTCTTTGTGGAATGCAATTTTTCGTTATTTGAAGTCCTACTCTGGCTCTTGCCAGGGGCCGCAATATCGCCCGGCCATAAATATGGTCATGGCTGAACGCGGTTTCCGTGACTTCTCCACCGGTGGTCCTCGTCAACATGGTGGCACTTTGTGTCATCGGGTGTTTATCGCTTGTGTGATGTCCTATTGGGGTAAACTACTACTAGTTTCAAGTAATATTCCCTAATAATTTCTATACAAGATGCAATTTTTTTGTTATTTGAAGCACCCCCTGGCTTTTGCTTGGGGTCCTCAGTATAGCTGGGCCACAAATGTGACCATAACGGCTGAAAGGTGTTTCTCGGACCTCTCCACGGGTGATTTACATCACCATGGTGGCACTTTGTGTCAACGGGTGTTTATCGCTTCTGTGATATCCAAGTGGGGTACAAGTAAGCAAGTTTTAAGCGACTGTCCCTATGCACTTTTTCTTGCTCTCTTCTTTTTCCTAATACCAGCCATCATGAATATCTCAAGAGACAAATGGCACAAGCGCAGGGCCACTGGTGGCTGTATTGCATTACTGATGAAGAAGAGAAAGTAAAAACTTGAACGCCCACCAGCACACACCAAGTTCGGAGTCAAAAGAATTCACACAGTGAGGACAATGGGTGGAAACAAGAAGTACAGAGCTCTTCAACATGATCATGGCAGTGAAGCAATCACACGCAAGACACGTATCATTGATGTGGTGTACAACCTCTCCAACAATGAGTTTGTGCGTACAAAGACACTGGTAAAGAGCTTTATCATACAGATTGACTCTACCCTATTTAGGCAGTGGAACGAGGCTCACTACGCCACACCCCTTGGATAAAAGAAAGGTGTCAAACTATTTGAGGAAGACGAGGCGGTGCTAAACAAAAAAGACCCAGACGAAATACGACAAAAAGAAAGAAGTCGAAGTGGAGCAAGCTTTGGAAAAACAGTTTGCCACTGGAAGAATTCTTGCTAAGATCGCCTCTCGACCAGGACAGTGTGGCAGAGTGGATGGTTACATCCTCGAGGGCAACGAGTTAGAATTCAGTTCCAGGAAACTGAAGTCCAAGAAGACTAAATAATTGAATTTATTATGAGAAAAAAAAAGTTCATGTAAACGAAAAAATTGTCCCACTTATTTTAAAACCCCACCCGGCTTTTCCCGGGGGCTGCAATATAGCCTGAAGGCTGAACGTAGTTTTCCGGACCTCCCTACGGGTGATCCGCATTCCCATGGTGGCACTTTGTGTCACCGGGTGTTTATCGCTCTGTGTGATGTCAAGGTGTGCTAAAACTTACTTACAACTACTACTATTATCCTCACATTTTGTGACGATCCAATTCCTTTCGTTTTTTTTTAAAGCGCCCACTCCGGCAGTTGTCGTGGGCCCTAATTCAACTTATGGGTTGATTGGGGTTTCTGGGACTCATGCCAGGGCGACCCTCATCCGAATGGGGGTACCTTGTGTACCCGGGGGCTTATCGCCCGGTCCTTGTGGGGATGAGTATCAAACAATCACCTGCATTGGGTTGCCTTTTGACAGAAAACGTGAACATGGTTCTTGCAACGAAAAAAAAAAAAAAGGATTGGAGGCTCAGTCCAGACCTAATAAAACATTTGGCAAACTCAACTCCCCCCCCCCTCCCCCAAGAAGAAGTCAACTGTTTAGTGGATGCATGATTGCCTTTGACACGACACTAGATGATTAAAAAAAATCATTGCTGAATCTAGCTTTTGATGAAAAATAAAAGAAACTTTGAAGAAATGCAAATAACAAAATTAGAAACCCTCGGGTTGGTTAAACCACGACCGATTGTACTGGAGGCGGTGGTTAAACTTGGGATGTCTCGTTTTCAGCTCAGTACACATGGATAACATTAGGTGGAAGATGCATAACTGAGGTAAGAAACAGAATAGGACAGGCAAAAACTGCATTTAATCAAATGAAAAAACATCTTGTACAATATATCCTTGTCATTGAGAGTTAGAAAAAGAATTCTTGCTTGCTACAGGCATCCAGTTTTAACATATGGCTGTGAATCCTGGACAATCGGTGGGCAGGCCAAACAATTTCTTGAGGCCTCAGAGATGTGATTTTACAGAAGAATGCTTATGATACCTTGAACAGCCAAAAAGAGCAACCAAGAGGTTTTGAAAGAGGCGGTAGCCCGAAGACAACTTATCACAGACATCAAAAGGAGACAGTCATAATTTGTTTCTGTGGAAGGAGGTATAGAAGAAGACAACGAGAGAAGATTCCTGACAGTCTTGTTGTATGGCATTGAGGTGTGTCGGCACACGAACTGATACATGCTGCAGGAGATCGTGGATTATGGAGAGACATGATCGCCCACGCCAGTCGGCAAAGCACCAAGATGAATATATATGGTCCTCCTGTAGATATCTGCAATTTGTTCTTGTACTTGAGTGCTGCGTGCACATCCGTTTTACAGACCTGTCTTATTTGTATGCTGTCATGTAGAGATTAATCTCACCTCCTATGAGTTAAGTTGAGTCAAGAATTGACATCACAGCACTCGGGGCATTCCCATGCATGCTCCCTCCTCATCTTCAGCAGGCAGCGCAGAGTTCCAGTACTGATGGGACCGGTCACAATCTGGTTAAAAGTCCGTCTTGCCTTTCCTCTGAGTGTCGTGTAATCTCTGTAATCACTTTGTTTCTGTTCCTGTCATGATAACTAACCAGTCCTAATAAAAAGGTTAAATCCGAAAACGTCCTTTTTTCAGCAACCCACTGTCACGTGGGTGAACAGCTGATCGCCCATGGAGAAGTCTTTGTCGATCCCACCATGTCAAGATGTCTGCTCCACCAGTGTGTCTTTGGTTCCAGTTATGTTGTGTCTGAAGGTAATACCCACTATCTTCTTCGTCTCCTTCTTCTCTTCCTGCTCCTTCCACTCCTCTTTCTTCTTCTTCTTCTTCTTCTTTTTCTTCTTCTTCTTCTTCTTCTTCTTCTTCTTCTTCTTCTTCTTCTTCTTCTTCTTCTTTTTCTTCTTCTTCTTCTTCTTCTTCTTCTTCTTCTTCTTCTTCTTCTCTTCTTCTTCTTCTTCTTCTTTTTTCTTCTTCTTCTTCTTCTTCTTCTTCTTCTTCTTCTTCTTCTTCTTCTTCTTCTTCTTCTTCTTCTTCTTCTTCTTCTTCTTCTTCTTCTTCTTCTTCTTCTTCTTCTTCTTTTTCTTCTTCTTTTTTTTCTTCTTCTTCTTCTTCTTCTTCTTCTTCTTCTTCTTCTTCTTCTTCTTCTTCTTCTTCTTCTTCTTCTTCTTCTTCTTCTTCTTCTTCTTCTTCTTCTTCTTCTTCTTCTTTCTCCTTCTCCTTCTTCTTCTTCACCGGTTGTAACCTTCGACGGAAAGTTAAGGCCGTTCCTCCATTTCTGGACTTTAGACTTTTCTCAAGAACTTGAATTTTGCGTGGAAACCCATTTGACTGATCTGGCTTATTTGTATGCAAACTGTTGGATCCTTGCCTCTGAGTCGAATGCACACTGACTTCAAAATGAAACGCCTAATTAGTTCATTCTTACGACATGCTTTTTGTGGGGGGTGGGGGGGGGGCAGTGAGTATGTCCCTCACCCTCTGCAATGAGATACCGGAAGACAACACTGGAACACCATCCTCTCAAATTAAAGTGATGCCTGGTCTAACCAGTGATTCGTTAAAACGATAATATAATAACAATAATAATATTATTAATAATAATATTTCCCCGTTTCAGTTCCTGGGCCTCATTGGAGAGTAGATCCATTGCCCCTAACAAGCATGTTGTCAAAGGCGACAAATGAAAGTTTGTGTGTGTGTGTGTGTGTGTGTGGCTAGAGTGCCACTGCCGGAGAGACGAGAAACCCACAGTCTGCATACGAATAGGCCAGATCTGTAAAACGGATACTCATACAAAACTGAAGTTCTTGAAGAAATATTAAGCCTAAAGTAGATGAATAATAAAGCTTTACGCCGGCGTTTGCAACCGGTCAATGGTAAGAAGAAGATGATGATGATGACGGTGGTGATAATGATGATGATAGTAATTATTATTATGTTAAATAATAAAGAACAAAAAGCACCTAATTATGACTTTGCTGAAGGTTGATGAGCTTAACCGAAAGGCGCATATATCGCAGCTTAGCTTTAACCATAACACAACTAAGGAATAGCGTTTGTTAAGGTCGAAAAAAACCCATTTCGTACAGTACAAAAAGAAATCTTGTTTGCAACGCTTGTCGACCGAACTCTAAATAAGACAGAAAATCCAGTGTGATCGATTGTGATTACATTTGCTTGCTTGTTGTACCCCACTAGTACATCACACAAGCGATAAACACCCGGTGACGCAAAATGCCACCATGTGGATGAGGATCACCAAAAGCCCTTTAGTCGTTATGGTTACAATTGTGGCCCAGCTATATTCAGGGCCCCCTGGGAAAAGTCAAGATAGGGCTTCAAATAACGAAAAATTGCATCCCACAGAAGAAGACAAGATAATTAATTACATTTTAAAACAGACAAATAGGGTACGCATTCGATTCCGTCACTCAGTTCTATTGAATGAAACTCAGCTAACATTTTGTGTGTGTGTGTGTGTGCCTCTCGTAATAGTATCCTTCTTAATTTTTTCCTTGGACGTCCTCTTGTTTTTCAGACCGTTTGTGTCCTATTTCAGTGCCTGTTTTGTAATTGAGTGCTCATTTCGTCCTTAGGTATGCCCAGTGTAGCTCTACGTTCTGTCACATATTTCAGTTGATACAGGTATTTGTCCAGATATTTCTCTGGTCTCTGAATTCATCCAATTTTTTATGTTCATGATTTTTCTCAGACGTTTTCAAAAGCATTTAAATTTCGTTCCGTATCTTTGGCGGTTCTCAAACTGTTGCGTGTGTATGTTAGAACTATCAAACGCCAGAATGGAATGTTCGTAGTTCGGTCTTAACGCTGTCAAACTTGGAACTCCATGTTTTGTTCAGGCTTTTAAAGGCTATTGTTTGTTGTTCAACTCCAAGAGGACCGCACAACTAGCGACCAACACCCGGGGACACAAAGTGCCACCATTCAGATGAGGATCGCCTGGGTACAAGTCCCAGAAACCCAGTTTAACTGTTAGGTTATATTAGGGCCCCGTCTGCAGCCGGAATGGGGCTCTGAAATATGGAAAAAATTGCCAGTCTTCGTTGTGAAAATCGCCTATAACTCCTCTTCTTCTGCTTTTGACTTCTAAATGGAGCATAGGCGCTCAACCAGCTTACGCCCATCCATTGCTATCATATGCCGCTCATACCAACTCTTTCCCATGTTTCGCCTTTACTCTCTAGTTATCTTCGCACGTGTGTGTGTGTGTTAGTGTGTCTGTGTGGTTGTATTTTTTGGTCTGCGTTTATTTCTACTCTCCTGTGAGTTCCATTATAAAGCCCATATAGTAATATTGTTCTCATGTTTTCTCGTGTGTTCTATCTTCACTTCTTGATTCAAGGGAATTCGCTTAGTTATCTCGCAAAACTCAACATTAGTGATTCTGTCATGCCATTTAATTCCCTCTATCTGCGTACACACAAGTTAATGAATGTTTACAGTTTATTAGTGATCTCTAGTTGTTCTCCGTATCATACAGCCGGCATCTTATTTCACCCCGATCCTCTGGTATCTTTCAATAAGTGTTTCGTCCTTTTTAGGACGAAATATTTTGTTATTTAAAGCCCCACCCTGGCTTTTGCCAGGGGCCGCAATATAGGCAGGCCATAAGTATGGGGAATTGTCTGAACGCGGTTTCTGGGACCTCTCCACGGTAATCCTCATCCGCATGGTGGCACTTTGTGTCATCGGGTGTTTATCGCTTGTGTGATGTCCTGGTGGGGTAGAAAATCAGTCAGTCTGGTATCTTGCTGTATGGAGGTGAAGTTAAATTAAGGGGAAAGGATCCGTTTGTGCGCTTAGCAAATGGAGATTACTGGCGACTTTGTTATTTCCTCTTTTCATCGTTTGCATGTTAGGCTTTGCTTTGCTTCTCGCCTGGTCTGTATGTAAATCATTGCTTGATGCGGTTTACTGTTTGTTGGCATCTGCGTTATACGGCCAAACC